AAAAAACCCAAAGGGAATCAGGAATCTTTGTGTTTTTAATTCTTACATATAGGGAATCAGGAATCATGAAAATATTTCCTTTAAATTAATCATAAATCTTCGATGAAATTTGTAAATATATCAGGAATCACTGGATTAAAACTTGAAGGGAATCATAAATCATCTTTTCTTGAAAATTCCGCTTTCAACCCCGATAGAACAGCTCCTTTCGGCTGTGCAAATAAGATTWTTAATTGCTCATTGATTGACTGTAACCGTAACAATGTTTTTGGGATAGCTATTTGTCCTCCATTCGATTAATCTAATTTCAATCTAATGTCATGTCATGTAACTTTATTCATTTGACTGCTATGTACTATTTATCTGTCTAAATCTATTCGATCTACGTTTACATTGCCATTGGTACAAATAATTGCGTAYTTGTGTACGCTTTGTAAGTACACCTACTTGAAGAAACGTTGTCATAGGAAATAGGACATTTGTATTTGAGTAAAAAGGAATAAATTRAAAAGGACTAAGGAAGATCACTGATGCTCAACGCTTTTTTTCATTTTTGTCTTGTTTTAGTTAATTCCTTTTTACTAAATTCAAATGTTCTATTTTCTATGACAACGTTTCTACAAGTAGGTGTATGTCAAGTTTAATAAATCAGCAGCCTGATTAGCTGAATGAATGGAAATTATCTCTCAAATCATTTCTTAACATTTCCTTAAAATAAAAGAAAATTAAGCATATGGAACAAGTAATATAGAATCCCTACTGATTGTAAATAAAAACTTTTGTTATATTGGTAAATTATTTTCACTGTTTTCTCGGTCTCTTATTGGACGATTCGGTGTCACGTGTCCGGAGCTAAAATCAACTGTTGACTGATCGGCCAATAGTTTGGCGATTGTTGACCGCTTGGCGGGAAAAGGCCGCCTCGCGTCGAGTAACTTGCTTTGAAGTCTCTACCCAATGCATTTTTTATTTCTTTCTATTTTTTGTCTCTCAGTCGAGAACAGAATGATTAACACACACCTGTATATATCTGATCATCAAAATAGTGACAGCTATTAAAGTCGGCAGCTTTTAGCAAACCAAAACTCTTGAATAAAGCCAAAGATTAAAGTACAATACTTAATTTTGCGTTAAGCAGGATGTTAAGATTGAACACAGGAAAAAAACACGCACTTTAAAGGTTGTAAATTTGATGTACACCTACTTGCGAAAACGTTGTCAAAAAAATAGAAAATTTGTATTTTAGTAAAAAGGAATAAATTAAAAAAATACAAAAGAAGATCAGTGAGGCTGAACGCTTTCTTTTGTCTAGTTTTAATTTATTCCTTTTTTTCTAAATTCAAATGCTCTATTTTCTATGACAACGTTTCTGCAAGTAGGTGTAGATATTATGAATTTACATCAAATTTACATCATTTTGGACACTTACATAATATTTACATCCAATTTACAACCTTTTTAAAGTTCTCATTTTTTTTTCCAGTGGAATATGTTAAAACTTAAATGCTCTGCGGTACTCTTCCCGAAAAATCTTAAATTGGCCGGTGGAATCGTTTTAGATTTCGGCGTTTCTTCTACTTTTTACCTTTATTTTTTCAGGCAACCTCGTCTCTTTCCAACGAGATTTCCATTCAAAATGTCACATCAAGACTCGCTCTGTTGACGCTTCATTTTCCTAAGGTACTTTTCTCTGGTGTTATTGTCGTAAACCTTTATTTGTATTGATGTAATTCTTCGATGTATGCCCGCCATCTTGAATTTCCCGTCATTCTGTTTTCTTTTTTGTATAACTATAAGTTTTCCATTAAGTTTTTCCTGAAATGAC